AGAGAGAGAGAGAGACAGAGAGACAGAGAGAGAGGGGGGATCCGTAGACGGTTGGAGGGTATTGTCAGTCGGTCCTACATCGTTACTGTTTTGACCGTTAATATGTTGACTGTTAGATAGTGTGTTGACCGTTAGTGTGTCGTTTCAACAGGAGAGAGAGAGAGGGGGGGGGGTGCGTCTGGACGTTTAGCAACAGCGTAGTGGGTGTGGTTGTATTCTGCAAAGCACTCTACATATTTCATGATCAATCTAATTTGTCTGGCTGTGTACAACGTAAGCGTCTAGCCACGCACAAGACTGAAACAGGCACTGTACGATAGGGCTGGGCAATGAGTCGCTTTAGCAAAATCCGAATAATATGTTAGTGCACCTCTTAGGCAAATAATATGATATGAACCGCTTCGGCAAATGAGTTAGAACCACTTCGACAAACGGATTAGCACTACTTCAACAAATGGGTGCACCCACTTCGGCAAACGGGTCAGGAAAGAGAGGTAAGAGTCTGAATTCGGGTCATGTTTCATTGAGAATTATCCGGTTATCTTTTTTTAGATTATCCGGATTTTGCCCACCCCTGCTGTACGAAACAAGCTGGGCAAAGAATCGATTCCGGAACCGATTCCCGCGGTAAGTATTACGGAGGAAAGTTCAGATTCCTTTCATGTTAACCAACGGTTACCAATATTGCTTATTTTATTAATTAAAACCTTTTTTTTCTTAAATAATTTTTTTTTAAAGTTGATGACTCGCAGAGTTCCAAAATCAAGGCTAACCTAAATCCTGAAGATGTCCGGAGCCAACCAGGTAACCACCGAAAGAAAGCACATCTTTGGAAAGTAAATTGGATTCGGAGTCGATTCCTACGATTCCTAGCTTTCAACAATCGGGAACCTAAGTACCCACTGCCCACCACTAGCAGAGTAATCATTATATCATTATCTGTGAAAAGACCGCGTTACTTGGGTATTAAGCCGAGAGGAGCGCCAAAGTGAACCAAGTTTTACTTTCTCTCTTTTTTAAAACCTTTATCTCAATGTGCATTCCGACCTTTATTCTTAATCGAAGTTGAAAGCGTTTTTCGTGCATGGCGTTTTGGCGCCACGAAGCAGTCTGGGTTAGCAAAACCTTTGCTCTGATGACTGCCCAGCTGGGGAGGGAACTCAGTTACAGAGATGTCACTCTAACGCGGCAGTCTCTGTCTGTTTGTCTGTCTGTCTGTCTTTTCCCCCCTTCTTCTTTCTTTCTTTCTCTCTCTCTCTCTTTCTCTCGTTCTCTATCGCTCTCTCTCTCTCTCTCTCATTCTCTCTCTCTCTCTCTCTTTCCTTGTCTCTCTCTGTCTCTCTGTCTCTCTGTCTCTCTGTCTCTCTCCCCTCTCTCTATGTGTCTCCCCGCTTCTCTTTCTGCCGTTTGAGATTACAATGGTAAAATTGAACAAAATGAACCCACACCATTTTCATAAACCTATTAAGCATGACATTGTCAAGGTGGATATCAATATAAAGGGTTAAGCCTTGTTTTCGCGGGGGTGTAGGGGCGTTCAGTGCAAGTGCTAGAAAATATGCAGCTTTGACAATGAATGAAAAGCGAGATCTGAAGAGTGCAAAATAGCAAGTGGTTGTGTTGTTAAAGAAAGCAAACAATGTTTACCTTCCTTGAACTCCTCCTCAGCTAGGGTAAGCATTGAAAGAAGACGGAGACATACTTATAAACATAATGATAACAAGCTCTGCACATGATCCAGTAACACATTGGATGAGTTAAAAAAAAAAAAAGTAATAGTTCGTCCTTCAGTATCTGATGATGACCAATGCATCTGCTGAAGAGAATAATATTCATTTTCTTAAGTGAAATCGATGAAATAAATAAGGACTAATTTGATCTGGGGATTCTGTCGTGGTCAATGAGATCTATTTTGGCAGAGATGAGTTTGCCAAATTTTGAGCTTTAAAAAGCATCATTTTCACTAGTGGGTGTACTTAGGTTACGGGTTTCTCGCTTGGCTTCAACTGTGATTGCTTGTCTGTCTGAAGCTAGGCTCTCCAATGTTGAGTGATCAATGTTGAAGTCACCCAGAAAGACATTAAATCAGGGTGTCTTTATAGCCCCCTTTTTTGGTGTGCCATTTTAACACTTTTTTGATGACGTAAATGACTTCGTCAGTTCATGCACAGTATTGTTGCTGCTGCTGCTTCTGCTGCTTCTGCTGCTGCTGTTGTTGTTGTTGTTGTTGTTGTTGTTGTTGTTGTTGTTGTTGTTGTTGTTGTTGTTGTAGTTGTTGTTGTTGTTGTTGTTGCTGATTTGGTTGCTGTCTTTACATCCAGCTCCCCTGGAAGTCCAAAGTGTCACTATGAGATGGTCCCTAGTTATAATTCTTCTTCATTCCTCAACAGTTATATCATTTTCTCTTCAATCACTCAGCATTCGAAATGAAGCATGCTATGTGTTGTAGTAGTAAGATATGATACGAAAGGACCGGCATTGTGTCCTTTCGAAAAAAAAAGGGGGGGGGGGGGGGGGCGTAAAACAAATGGTTGACTCCCAGTAGGAGAAGAAGAAACAACTACATGAAATTACCCACATTGTGTCATGTTTGATTTGAAGAAAAATAGTTAAAATTGTATCAAGCAGAGCTTGGAATGTCAACAACAACAACAACAAAAACAACAGCAACAGCATCATCACCAACAACATCAACAACAAATATAACAACAACGACGACGACGACTACAACAGTAGAACAAGTAACAGCAATAACATCAACAAAGACAACAACATCTACAACAACAACAACAAGAACACCACCACCACCAACAACAACAATAACAACAATAAAGACAATGAACACCATCACCACCAACCTCACAAACAATAACATCACCACTACTTCAACCTACATCTCTAACAGCAGCAGCAACAACAGCAACAACAACAACACCGCCAACAACAATAACCTGCATCTAGATCCAACTCCTCCAACTGCAAGCTTGGCATAGACTGGACCGAGTCTAGGTGAGGGAAGTCGAAGGTGGAAGATTGGCGTCTCTGAAACTGGCGGCGCCTGAGGGAAGCGTTGGACACCTGGTGCTCCAAGGGGTTACGGCCGGCTCTGGAGGACGGGCTGGACATTCTGGGGCTGTGGACACAGGGAGGAATGTTGGTTAGAACCATAGAAGTGGGGGACGGGCAGAGAGTGCAGATACATGAGAAATGTTGGTTAGAACCGGGGGGTGTTAGCTACAATCATAGAACCGAGGACACAAGGGAGTGTTGGCTACAACCATAGAACTGGGGACAGGGACAGAAGGTAAGGGCACAAGGAGGGTGCTGGCTACGACCACAGAAGTGGTGGACACAAGGGAGATATTGGCTGGAACCATAGAACCAGGGACAAAGACAGCAGTTGGGACACAAGAGAGATGTAAGTTACAACCATAGAACTGGGAACACGATCAGGGGGTGCGGACACAAATGGGGGTGTCTACTTCCATAGAAATGTAGACGAGGACAGAGTGTGCTGACACAAGGAAAATGTTGGTTACAACTACATAATTGGGGACATGGACAAAGGGTTCGGACGCAAGGGAGATTTTGCTACAACCACAGAACTGGTGATACAGACAGGGGGTGGGAACAGAAGTGAGATATTTACTAATTTCATAGTACTGAATACATATGGAGATATGGACTATTTCCATAGAATTGGGGACACAGGGAGGTATTGGCTAGTACCACAGAATTAAATACGAACGGCGTCTCAGAATGGAGACACAAGGGAGGCATCTGGAAGTACTATAAAACTGTGAAAGCAATTTTTAGAAATTTTGCGATTTTCGTATTTTTTGTAAATCTTTTTACCATTTTGAAAGTACTCCTTCCAAGTTTTTTTTTTACTTGTTCCTATTTTGAGTCGGGTAAATCAAACGTTTTTTTCTGTTTAATCCCATGTCATTGCTTGACAAAGTAAAATCGGACAGAAAATACTCCATGTTTTACAAGAAACATCGCGAGCAAAAAAAAAAAAAAGACAATAGATGGAGAGGTGACTCTCGCGATAGGCTTGATGGAGACTTTTACAGGCTATTCTAGAAGCCCTTAATCTGGGTATGATTCTGCATCTCTGATAAAGCACGAGGACCGCGAGCTGGGAGAACAATAACTCATTCATCTGTCATCTTTGTAAGAACGTTAAGGACGTCGTTGCTGATGTGAATAGCTCTTTGTGCTCACCATTTGCTGTTTGGCGATAAAAAAAACAAAACAAACCCCTAACCAAAACAAAGAAACAACACACACACACACACACACACACACACACACACACACACACACACACACAGAGGCAAACACACAAACACTCCCCCCAGGAAACAAATGAAAGGACAGTTATCTAATATGGTCATACCCTCTGTAACTTACCACAAGCATGGGAAGAAAAGCTTTCGGATGGAAGGAAAATTCAGAGCGTTGTTTAAGTTTTTCATTAAATGTATGGAATACGGTCAGCTCAAAAGCATTATAATTGTAATATAAATACGGGCATCCTGGTTCAGCTTACTGACAGGATAGATATTGATCAAATTATGGTTTTTCATGGGTCTCAACTCAGAATTTTTAAAAAAAGGAGAAACTTTCCGGGTGATCGTGACAGAAGCTCATTTTCACGAAACACCCATTACAATTATAGATCTCGTTGAAGCCTAGAATGCTGAAATAAAATTGTTTCAATTTATCAAAGCAAGTTTATTTCACACCAATTTGAGGGTTCGGAAGATAATTTCAAGTAAGAGTTACAACCAAATATTTACAATCTTGATTATGTACACAAAGTGGTGGTGCACTGGGGTCTTGTGCTACTTATTATACTTTCCCTTCATCATATTATTCGCCCGCATATATAAACTATATAAAAATGAATCTTGTATTGAGCCTGAGAAAGACCCTAGAACTAGAAAATCGACTGTCATGCACCAGTCTGAGTGTCATGATTCATATTATATCATATATATATGTGTATATATATATATATATATATATATATATATATATATATATATATATATATATATATATATATATATATATATATATATATATATATAAACGTGAAAGACTTGAAAATATTGCTCAAACTCAAAGTACAGAAACAACTTGAATAGCTCAAGTAGATCTATTCAGTGTGAGAGGTGTAAGAACTGAGGGAGCGCAAGATGCAGTGACACTGAAAATATGCGAATCTTAAACAGAAAGCTATACTATCGATATACTTTACTGTCACCCATCCTATGAAACGCGAACACTTAGGCCCTTAGGTTCAAAAACATGCTTACAAGTTATGACTGTTCCCGATTTCACACAAGACCTGGACCAACGCACTCTTTACTTTGCAGAGAGCTGTAGTAGTAGTAATCAAAATTCTAAATATTAAAAATTTGCTTCTAGTTTCAGTTTTTTTGTCCTCTGGTGTGGCGTTCAGCCCCCTCCCCCCTCCCTGAGCGTATCTTTAAAAAAAAAAATCAATATTCTCCCCCATCCCGGAGTCCTGTACTTCGCAGCGCTCAAAACGCGCGCAGGTTCACTGACCGGTCACAATGGTGAGCCCGACAAGACGCTTGTACAACTTTCTTTTCTTTTTTTTTGGCCCCCACAAGAGACAGCACTGTGAGAATATTGATTTATTTTCATGGCGACACCACATTTGTAAAACCGAACTTGCATGTTAAAAATGTTGCTTTATCAGACTATCACTGACAAATTTCTGGGTGGGAACGAAAGAGAAAGTAGATCTTGATTTTCCGGTCGAGCCTCGGTGTCACATACAATTCTACTTGCCGCCATAGCCGCCTGTTCACGTGAAACGTACTCAAAAGATCGGGAAAAGCCCAATTAATACCACAATCGCTACCGGCAAAAATGAACTCAAAGAAGTTATTGGATTTGGTTTTCAAATACTAAAGATCTTTTATGTATTTTCCTAGGTATCGGTGATTTTTTTCCCGGGGCCTGGCAGTCACCCTGCTCCCAGCAACTCTCTTTCTGATTGGCCCGCTGTCGCGGTAGCGGAGTTTAGCGGGGGAAATGGCGGTAGCGAAAATCCGCTAAATAGCGGAATATTGAGACCCATGTTTTTGACGAATTATCGTGGATCTCAGCCCTTTGTGTTCAGAACTATCGGAAATGATACTGAAAAGACTTGCCTCTTAAACCTACTGTTTTGAAAATATGTAACAAACATATTCGGAGGCGGGGCAGAAAAGTTTGCATCCAACGTGAGCTCAGTTAATATCACACCGGGCAGTTTTGCCTGTGACTCTTCTTTGAATCCCCAATGGGGACTTCTTGAACTTGTTTTTCTTCAAGGCTCTGCATCCAATTGGCTCTGTCATGTATGAGAATGACGGTAGATTCGGAGATTATACTTCTTATACAGTGTATTCCTACCCAGATGCCAATATAAAAAAAAAATGAAACGCGTCTACACTCGGACAGGTGTAGGTGGGATACGCGAATCAGGCACACCTGAAGCAACTTACGCTGCTGTACTAGGCAATAGGAGGGCAGTATCGGTAAAAACCTATCCGCATTTTTGGGGTAGAAAAAGCGCATCACTCTGGTTCATGATTTGTGATGGTAACCGTTCTCGGGGCAATTTTGTAAGAATGAAAAAACAAGCAAAAAACGGCCATTACTTTTCGCAGGCTGTGTTACATACTTGGAAGTTTTGCTAGGCAGGGGGCCGGATGGTTCTGTTTTGATTTGGCTACTTCCGTTGGGCGAGTTAACATCTGTGACGTCATACGAAGGCATATTGGCGATTCGATGGTGAAGGGAGGATGCTCCAACAATTGGCCACAGGTGAAAGAAACGTCAAGGTCGGGTAAGCTTCAAAATGGCTTACACTGTCACCTCTGGAGTAACATCTGAGAACTGTGGAAGATGAAAAAATAATCTTTTAGCCCTAGGGTGTCACAATCAGTCGCTCACGGGATCAAGCTCAAATCACATTAAAGGTTGCAGGCGAACTGTATAAAAATAAACTGAGCTGTGGAAAAGTAAACCTTCTTTAAAAGAATGATATGAATTAAGACAGACTAAAGCTAGAATAAAGCGATCCAATTTTGAAACATTTTTTGGTAGAAGTTTTACGGTGCTCGCAACTGTATAAGGTCATATGAGCGCCATGCGATTCAAAACATTCTAATTTTCCCTCATATGCAAAAAATGCCAGTGCTGGGTTTTTGGCATCTTTACCTAGCAACAAAAAACTGAATTGGTATGTTCATGTAACAAGATCGTATACGCTATCAAAGACCATTCTTCAGGGAACTATTTCTTCAGGGAACTATACAGGGGAAGAGAAGGAGAGGAAGGCAAAGAAAGAGGTGGACCGACAACATTGCGGAGCGGACAGAGAAATCCTTCGCCCAAACCCAGGCTCTCGCAAAAATAAAAAAAACAACGTGAAAAATGGAGGCACCAGACGAGGCTCTTTATCACGCAGCA